TTCGAAAAATTGATACTCAGCCGTCTGCTGGTGTTTTCAAATGATAATAACATCTTTCTCAAAGAGTAATTCGGGTTTAGGAAAGGCCACTCTACCATCCACCAACTCACACGGGCTACTAACATCATCAAGCGGACTAAGTCCGTTTCCAATACATCTGCCATGGCATTGTTGGACGTCGAGAAGGCGTTCGACAATGACTGGCATGATGGTCTAGTGTACAAGCTGCATCGATTCAACTTTCCGAACTACCTCGTGAAGATCATCAAAAACTACTTGTCGGGCAGATCATTCCAGGTCTACTTGAACAATGTCTCCTCTGATACGTTCAACGTTGATGCAGGGGTCCCTCAAGGTAGCCTGCTTGGGCCTATCCTATTCAACATTTTCACGTCAGACGTACCTCCCCTGCCGGGTGGTGGTATCCTGTTGATGAATGTTCGCAGATGGCACCTCCATCATCTATAAGGGTCGAGTGATCCGTGCTCTGGCGAGTAAACTACAATCAGGCCTGGATGTTTTGTCCGACTATTTTAAGAGCTGGAAGATTTATATCAATGCAGCTAAAACACAAACCATTCTGTTTCCACATTCGTATTCACCTCGGCTTGTCCCGCCTGCTAACGTCAAGATCCATCTTGATATCACTCCCATTGAATGGTCGAGTGAAGTAGTCTACCTTGGTCTCACCCTCGATAGCAAATTGCTATTCCGATCCCATGTGGACAAGACATCCACCAAGTGTAACATCTTGATCAGGTCGCTCTACCCTCTGATAAACAGGAAGTCCACCCTGTCCCTCAAAAACAAGCTTGCTGTCTACAAGCAAATCATTCTGCCGGCTATTGAGTATGGTATGCCAATCTGGGAGAGTTGTGCAAAGTGCCACCACTTAAAGCTTCAAAGGATCCAAAACAAGATCCTCAGAATGATCCTTAACAGTCCACCGCGAACTCGTAATTCTGAGATTCACCACCTGGCCGGTCTTCAAACACTCGAGGAGCGAAAGACTTCCACGCTGGAAAGGTTCAGAGTCGCCTGTCTGCGATCAAACCACCAGATCATTCGTGATTTGGCAACCTAGTTTAAGTAGTTAGGTGCTCAAGTAGGTAGGTTATCAAATTTTTAAATTCAAACCAAAACAATCCCACAAAGGGTATCCTGTAAATTAGCGCTAAACGCAATCATCACATTAGAATAACCAATTAACTAGAACAAAGATGAAGAGCCAAAGGCTAACCAATTGAAATGTTAAATCAAATGTTGAAACATAAAACCCAGAAAATAAACGTAAATTTTACTACTACTGGTATCAGCTCATTTTCGCTTCGGACGGCGTGGTGAGCAATAGTAGCAGTAGGTTGTGGCAAAGGAGGTGCCAATCGTCATAGCAAATTCTTCGAGATAACCACCATCCGTCGTCTGGCTCGCCGTCGCAGTGTCTGACGTATCTCCGGTCTGATCTACGAGGTGTGCTGAAGGTGTTCCTGGAAAATGAGGTCCGTGATGCTGTCACCTACACTAAACACGCCAAGCGTAAGTGGCCATGGATGTCCTCTTCAATAAAACGGCCCTTTTCAGGACCATCAAGCTTACATCAGTAAAGAGTTGGAAAAGAACTTATCTATGCTTGTTTGTCCATATTCAGAACCACAAGCCCCCAACAACCACACAAACTTGGAAGCAGGGGTGCAAGTGATTTTGATTGATTCTCGTAATCAACTTTCTTTTTGAAAAAGATTACTACAAATTTGGATCGCCTACAATTCAAAACCGGAAAGAGTTGAGATAATAGATATCAAATTTTGATCAATTAAAAGAACTTAATGCTCTTCACATTTATTCCGTCCACTAGCGGTCCTACGTCAAGCTTCCGTTTGTGCCCCTAGGCACAGACCCTTCTACTTTTTTTCTATTATTTCTCAATTAGTTTGTTTTTCAATCATTGATCATTCTATATTAATCTGAGCTTCTTTTTTGCTTCCACATTTATAGCTGATAATAAACATATTTTCCAAACATTTTCTTCTTCTTATTCGCATTTTAACCCTATACTTTACTTAGTGCACGTTAGCTTATTGCGTGCTTTCAACTGAGTGTTCTAAATGCACTTCCACAGTTATTAGTTGAGAGCTTTCGATGCCAATACCAATGCATGAATTTGTATATTGTGTGGCAAGCACAATGATGCTATATGCCCAGTGTTGTCGAGAAAATATCCAACCTGAAATATTCCCCGGCCGGAGCGGGAGTTGAACCCACCACCTCCGGCTTGGTAATACCGTGCCTTTACTGACTAGGCTATGAGGCCCCAAAACATATGAATTAAACAGTTGAAGATGCTAATTTCAAATAACATACTAAAGTGGTAATTTTTATACGATAGATGAGGAGATGAAAGTATAGTATTGATGTTCCGTTAGAGTACGGCAGTGTGAAAATTGCATATAGAGAGTAGAAAGCAGCGAGCAAGGACAACTTTAGGAAAGTACAAATCGGTTTGATCATCTCTCTTTACCAAACTCCCCCGTTGGAGAGGAATGGCGAGGGGTATTCCCCCCACCACCACTGGAAAAAAAAGATGATCACCGACTCGCTCATGTACCGACGATGTGTTTGAAACAGTTCTAACGATTTTTACCGCACTCAAGTTGTTGTCTGAAGGAAGGCATCCAGTCGTAGGTTTGGAAATTGCAGCTCTTCAACGGGGGGAGTTTGGTAAAGTGAGATGATCAAACCAATTTGTACCTTCCTAAAGTTGTCCTTGCTCGCTTTCTACTCTCTTTATGCAATTTTCACACTGCCATACTCTAACTAATTAACCTCTATCCTCTATCTATCGTATAAAAATTACCACTTTAGTCTGTTATTTGGAATTAGCATCTTCAACTATGTAAATGTTTGACTTCACGCATACTAAACATATAGTCAAAGTGCATATGAATTATGTTTATGAGCTGTAATCACATCAACACATATTCTTCAAACATAATGTAAGTCATAGTGATAATAAAATAACTGCAACAACTACTGAAACAAGTAATAAAAATCAATCTTGATTAATTTCAACCCAAAGCCGTACTTCCATGTTTTCGATCAATAGCTATTCGGACTAGAACTTTCCTAAACAATTTAACAAATCAAACTGATAGGTTTTTGTATTCTGTGCACCAATACTGGTTTAAAAAATAAATGAATCGAAACTAAACTACAAGCAAAGAAAATATTCACATAGGGGAAATGGCTCCAATGTTGGCCTATGGATCTAATATTGGGCCCATCGCTAAAAATCTGCTATTTATCAATTGTATCTAGAGGAACGCGTCATTGGGACGTTACTAATGGATATTTTTGGTTGCTATGGAAAATTTAGTCGATTGCTGAATGTATGTATGGGCCCAAATTAGGGACATTTAGGCCGACATTACATCCATTTCCTCTATTACTGAAAATCGCTATCAATTTGCAACCGGTTCACGGTACCTTACATCAATTTTTGTCACTATTTTGTAATAAAAAGTATTAACCAAATAACGTTTAAAAACCATGCTTCTAGCCCAATTTCATTTAAATACTGTCTAGGCATGGACTCTACATGAGGAAAATAACCATATTAGTTCTTTATTATTTTAACGTAATCTTAATGGGGCCGGGCTTACCCAAATGATACTCAGTGCCCAGTGATGTCGAGAAAATGTCCAATCCAAACAATTCCTGACCAAACTGGGAATTGAATCCACCGAGTCTCGCACGATCTTGCTTTTTAGAGGTGTCATAACCGACTGAGCTTAGGAAATCTACATTACATATGGTAGATAATTCTAGAAAAAAACATTTCAAAAGGTCTTATCTACATTGATCGATTCTCTTCATCGACTTTCTCTTTCGTCAATTACTCAGCTGAAAAACCTTTCCCTGTTGTATTTGAAGTTCTGAACGCTAGATAAGAACCTCCTTTATCAAACTAGGGGAAATGCAGGTAATGTCGGCCTAAGTGTCCCTAATTTGGGCCCATACATAATTTCAGCAATCGACTAAGTTTTCAATAACAACCAAAAATATCCATTAGTAACGTCCCAATAACACGTTCATCTAGATAAAATTGATAAATAGCAGATTTTTAGCGATGGGCCCAATCTTAGATCTATAGGCCAACATTAGAGACATTTCCCCTATGTGGTAGAATTAGCGTGAAATCTGTTTGAATAGCAGTGGTTATGAAAAGAGAAAGTCGATTAAGAGAATTGATCAAAGCAGATACGACCATTTGAAATGTTCATCGAGAATTGCCATCTCTTCGTAGGAAGTGTTCATAGGGGTTCAATTAACTTTCGCCAGAAACCATAGTTAGGATTCTTGAATTGTCCCAATTTCGTTGACCAGCTTTTTCACTTATAGTTATCCCGTAAACTTCGCTATGTCGTGCAATATTCCATAAATGTTGGAGTTCAATCTCCTTAGAACAACTGGTTTCACTATAAAACATCAATCTGAAGAGGACCACTGCTCTCTTCCCTCTGCGGTTGACTATGTAAATTACTTTTCCAACCCAGCTCATCCAAACTCATCGCCAAAAGGCACGCTTCATCACCAAATCCAAGACGACCTGTTTATGGTCTTCGGAGTTTTATTCCTTTATGGTTTTATGCTCGACCAACGAGGAATGCAATTTGCAAACCAAATTTTTTTGTGTCACACTTCACCATTGCAGCCAGCAATTTCAGCCTTCGGGCCTTAATCATTCACGAACATCTCGGAAATCAAACAACCACACTTACAAACCCTGTAGTAGTGGGAGGCAGTAGCGTCACAAGCCTCCCTCACTATCCAAAAAACAGTTGACACTGGCACTACTCCCACTCCCTAAAGTCCCCCTCCCACCCCTTCCGCTCTTCAACCAAATCAGGCCGACGATGACGACAACGAGGGGTATCTGTTTATTACCGTTATTATCTGCCTCCTGCCTCCCCATTCCTATATCCGAAGGCAATCGTACTCACCTCCTAACCTGCTACTGCCTGCCTGTGGCCAGGCCTCCGGACCAAACGATGAAAACCCCCGATTTTAAGCCGTCTTATTGTTGCACTAGTTTTCCTTTATTGTTGTTGATTTTCACTGTCCCCCCTCCACCATCCTTCTTTCTAGGATTCTTCGGTAAATCCTAGGAATATCACACTACCTGTTTGCCACCACCTTTCCCCCGACCCGGCAGCGTCTTCTCACCACACTCTACAAGGAATCACGTCCCGTCGGTCCCACTCACCGAAGAGCACAGAGCGTCGCGCGGTAAAAATTAAAAAACACACACTGCTCCTACTGCTGCTGCTGCTGCTACTCGGAATCCTTCGCTTTCGAACAACAGGATATCTACCTGTCGGGGCGCGCGCGAAAATATTACGGTGGCGTTGGCTAAGTTTGCAACTAAACTGCGGGCCCAACAGCAGCAGCGAGAGACAGAGAGCAGCGGTTCAAGTTTGCAGAAGCCCCCGATCGGCCGACGACGTCACGGCGAGGAACCAGAAGGAAGAAGCAACCACCGAAATGTCCAGGATGACTCCGGGTTTCACCGACCCCCTCGGAATTCCTTTCCACAAAAGTGGCGCAAAAATACGGTTTCTGCGTCCCTTCCCCACCGCTGGAAGCGATCCCGGAACCCGAGCCTTACTCGCCAGCAGCCGAAGTGGATGAACTTTTTCCCGCAAGACACCCCCCTCTTCTTCCATTTTTCCCCAAAAGGAAAAAAAAGGCGTTCGAATCCCATCCGTTGCCTGAAGTCAGCTTTTTTCTCTGCCCTTTTACTGTATGCAGTTCCATCGGAACGGAGCAGGACAACCGGATTGCTTCGGAAAATCCTCGCCCCAAATGAACTGCGCAAGCCCCACCAAGACAAGCAAAGCCGGATGCATTTCCCGGAGTGTTCATCCAAGGGATACACCCCCACGGTTGACTCGGTTGGCACTGCTTGCTGCGAACTCCAGTATGCTACCATGCTTCGTCGGGTGCGGAACCGGAGCGGTGTATGCGCGTCGTTCATTCGCAAGGGAAGACCGCGACCGACGTAATTTTGTTCCCACGCTTGCCGATATGCCGACGGACGGAAATCAAACAACGAATCGCACCCGGAAGTGGGTTGTTATCTGATAGGAGCGTTCGCTGCTTGCCGTTCAATTGTGCAGGGCCGGTGATTTGATAAGAATCAAACCGTTCAGAAGCGGATTGATGGGGCCGCATTAAAATTTGACGACAGAATTATGTTAATGAAATGTGGTTTTGCTCGTCGCCCGGCTTTGCGTTTGGGGTTGACGGTGATGGTGTGCTGGAAATGAGTGGTCATTTTTCATTTTTGGCTGGCTTTCATCGGAGCGCTTGGCAAAGGTTGATTAGGACCGGAATTGGACTGCTTTCCGGTGCGGGGTGGATCAAAATTGCTGATAGGCACATGGTCGGTCATTAGTTTGGGGGAGATAAACAAATATTTCACCGTAAAGTGGCTGGTTAATGAAGACGGCTTCCTGGCGGTTTCAGTTGGGGTGCTGGTGGGGGCGGGGTAAGGCATTATTTCAGATTGAAGGCTTCATTAGTGCCTAATCTTGGTACTGTTGTTTACATCATTTGCTGAGGCAATAGTGATGGGTTTTTTTGTTTTCCCGACTATTTACTCGTTGCGGCTGTCTTTGTTCTAATTTCATCATTCTTCGTGAATCAAACTATAGGCTGACCCGAACGTTGATGACTCTATTTGTTCGAAAGCAAGCAAACGATGCAAATGAGCATGAGGGCGGCACGATTGATTCTCCATCCAGTTGAGTTTTTTGTTTTTGAGTAAATTTAATTGAGTGAAGAGCATTTATCATTGTGCTTCGCACATGATAAACAAAGTTTTGTGATGGTTCTATTGCTTGCATGTATTTTCAAAAGAACACTAAGTTAATGACAAACATAAGTTCTTATTAGATCGTTATAAGTAAGGAGGGTTGGCAATTTGTGTGGGTAGCAAAAAAAAAGGACGTTGTGTTTCTTAACAACCACTGCACCAAATTATACCAATCACGTGTCAAATGAAAGGTACTACATATGATGCCATGAATGATGAAAGCTTCTACGAAAATGTTTAAACCACCTACCGATGACATGTGCCTTTTTCGTATAATATAAAATAGCTTTATTTTATATTCTAGTCACTTCGCAGGGGCACCCTGGATATGGCGAAGTGTTGAGTAAGTGGTGTAAAACTTGATAATGAGTAGTTTGAAGTTGATGTTAGGTGAAAGCAACCAAAACCAAAAAAATAAAGTATGACATAGAACTATGCCAAATTGATGTAGGTCATACATTTTCGACTATTATACTTTATCTTAATTTTTTCTAGCATTTCAATGTTTCCGTTATGGTTAAAAACTCGCGACAATTCATGTTAGCATAATCGACCACCGTTCTTCTAACGCATGAGATAATGTTTTTTTAAATTTACTGTAATTGTTTAGAATTGACAGAATTTTTCCTACATAACTACATAGGGTTGATCTATTTTGCTGTGATCAAAGTGCACTAAATTCGACATCGACTACAATAGGAACTGACACTATTTCGTCACACATTTTTTGTTGATTTGCAACTCAGTATAATACATAAAAATTCCATGCATGTTGTGGGATAAAACAATTCGCATAAAATACGTTATTTTTTTCAGTAGCTCCATCATTAGTTTTGAATTAGGTCTCTGAAGCAGAGAAGAGAGTGAAGATTGCATTTTACGATAGCGCAACAGGCAGTGGTTTTACCTGTCAAAAGACGGTACTTTAAATATTGAACAAAATGTTGGTTCATATGTCAATGAAGTAGGGGAGGAAGGGGTATAACGATCATACGGGCATAGCACCCCTTTGTTATCTAATTTGGAGGACAACACTTACATAAAATTACCATGTATCATCATTATGTACGTGTTCGTAGAATGATTGAAATATAGAATACTGTGACATTTCTCAACTTAAACGTTTAGTTTCCAATAAGTGGGTGCTTAGTACAACATTAATTGAAAATTGTTTAATTTTTTGATAGTAAACATTCACTGGCGTGCACAGGGTGGGGCAAGGTGGGGCAATTGCCCCTCCTTTAATAAATAAGATGTTTATTTCCACATTTCCAAATTACCAAAATAACTTGTTTTCTTGATAACTTTTTTTTATATCTTTATTAAGGAGACTTTCAGCCCTGGGCTGGTTCGTCTCCTCTTGATAACTTGATTTGAAGGTAAAATAACTTCATTTCATACTTTAAGGGCACTGAAAACCTTTTATTGCGTCAGTTTCTTTGAGATGGTGTCTGAAAAGTTTGGTCGAAAAATTGCACCACAGTGGTGCATACAAAAAAGTTCGGGTGTATTTTTTTTTTTCAAGGGTGTTCATGGAGGGATAAAAGAAGAGGTTAAATTTAAGGTTGAAAAAATTCACCTTCGTGGCGGTAAATTGAAAAGAAAGCTTTTTATTGAATATCTGGTGTAAAAATATCATCAATCATGGAGGGACTAATCAAAATGAACAACCCTGGTAGAAAAATTGAATCACGCTAAAAATTTGTAGGTGCATTGTATTTCTGGTGTACGTTGTACGCAATACTGTGGTGAAAGTAGAAACAAGGTTTATTCATTTTTCTGGTGCATAATTTGCATCGTTCTGATGAATGCAAGCTGCATTGAACATTTATGGTGGAAAATTTGCACCATTCTGGTGCCTGAGAATTGCACCACAAAGGTGCATGGTAGAACAACCTTCACTGACAATTGTTGGTGCACCATTCTGGTGAATGGAGGAGAATGGTCTATTGAAAATTTCTGGTGCAAAATTTGTATCGCTCTGATAAATGAAATTAACAGAAAATTTCTGGTGGAAACCTTGCACTGGTCTGGTGGACACAAGCTTTATTTAAATTAAGCTATATTGAAAACTTCTGGAGGAAAATCTGCACCGTTCTGGTGAACGGATGGGCAAGCTTTTCGGAAAATGTTTGGTCTCAAATTTGCATACTTTTGCTCAATAGAGGAACAAACTTTAATTATAATTTCTGGTGTGAAATTTGCACCATTCTTATGATTGGAGGGAAGCTACTTGACTGAAAATTTATGCTGAAAAATCTGAAAATGGGGGTAAGTTTTATTTGGTGGAAAACCTGCAACATTCTGATGATAGGAGAAGCACGCTATATTGAAAATGTCTGGTGGAAAATAGAAAAAGGAAATCTGCACCAATCAGAAGATTGGAGAACAATTTTTATTGAACACTAGCTGAGTGTGCCCGGTCTTGCTCGGGATTCAATATTAGCTTGAGTTTATGCGCCGATTTAAAAAAGCATGCTATATTGTACGTTGCCCCCCCCCCCTTATTATCTAAGGGGCTACCCCCTATGATTATCTCCTTATACCCCCACACTCGCCCCCACATGCCTAATTTGGTTCCATTTGCTTGATTAGTTCTCGAGTTATGCAGAAATTTCTGTTTCATTTGTATGGGAGCCCCCCCTTACAGAAGGGGGAGGGGTCTAGAACCATCATAAGAACCTTCCACGGCCCCAAAAACCCTTGTATACACATTTTCACGCCAATCGGTTCAGTAGTTTCCGAGTCTATAAGGGTCAGACAGACAGACAGACAGACAGACAGAAATTCATTTTTATATATATAGATAGATAGATAGATAGATAGATAGATAGATAGATTAACGGTGAAACATTTGCATCGTTCTGGTCAATTGAAATTTCCTGGTGTAAACTTTTCTGGTGTACAATTTTCTGGTGTTAAATTTTCTGGGGGCAAGTTTGTATTGAAAAATTTCTGGTGTAAGATTCAATCTGCTGCATGAAGGGGCTAGCTGAATTGAAAATTCCAGATGTAAAAACTGCACAGTTCTGGTGAATGGAGGGGCAAGCTTTATTGAACATTTCTGGTAGAAAAACTACAATGTTTTGGTGAATCGACGGAAAACTTAAACTTGACTTCCGAGAAGAACCTCAAGGGTATTGAATTCTGAAGAG